AAGGGTTACCTAAAGTTCACAATAACTAAAAATTAAACAGCTAATAAAATCATAAATACATAGATGTAGATTACCAGCTTACTAAACTGCCACCTATGAAGCGTTGATAAAAAGGCGACTTTTAATTACGTAATTTAAATGACTGGACATGGGTTGTCTACTGTGCCATCGAGCAGAAGGATCTTATAAGATGACCTTGGGGCCCTGGGGACTAGAATGTGCATGGGTGGATTGGGACAGAATTGTTTTGGCATTCCTGGAGTGATCAACGAAATGGAGAATCGAAAGCGGAAGAAGCATCAGGCCAATCTATTCTCTCCTGAGGCCATAAGATCTCATTTGTCTGCCAAAAAAAGGTAGAAGCCGATATAGATAGTCATGTGGAATTTCTTCGCAGAGTTGACCTCAACGCAGTGGACAACCTCAAGGAAGATGAAGCACTCGCGATATTGTCGGCCAAGCTCACTTTGAATGGACTGTCAGTCTTGAAGTTGGCCATGAATCATGTACCATGTACGTACACGATGCATTGCAGGGAATTTGAAGGCTTTCCTTTACGTACTGTTTTAATCCATAACATTGTCACTGCCTGTTGTAGCTCTCGTTCCCTTGATTCGCTCGCCAATGTTCATCTGTATGTCAGTTTCCTTGAAAAGTATTGTACGGAATTCCTCTGTAGTCCCGAGGTTCTACCGCACGACAAACTTTGGAAGCTATGTGAAAACGGTGGATACCGTTACACCAAATTTTTGTCACCTCCAACAAAATCTTGCCTAAACTGTGGGGAAGGCATCACGATGCACAACCCACGCTCGAAAGCCAAATTGTTCACCCTTCAAGGCCCTATTCCTGCATCGAAAATCACTCTTGAGTGCAAAGGTTGCAAAATAAGCTATGGGATAACACAATTCACGGATAGTACAGGAGCCCATTTCTATCCAAATTCAATATCAAGTCATGTGATACAGATGACAAACACCTCATGCATGACTCAAGAGTTGTACAGGTGGATACCTTCTCTCAGGTAGGTAAAAAGCCCATATTTTTGATGTATGGATGGATTGATTGATTGAAGTGGATGTTAAAGTTTTCCAGAATGTTCCTGTAATTTATTGTGGCGAGTCTCTACTTACAATCTGCATCAGTAATAGTATCTAATGTTATGTCCTGTCATTGCTCACAATGTTTTTTTTTTTGTAACATCACTAGTTTTGATAGCAACAGTCAAAGCACCCTTCACGGTTGCTATAGGTGCTGATCACTTTCAAGCTTTCATTTTTGTTGCAATTGATTAGTGATCAGCATATAACTTAGACATAAGTTCCTTTTTGCAATGTTAATCAAGTCCTTTTTTCTCACTTAAACAAAAAGTTATTTGTCTTTCAAACCCACATGCTCATGATGCAAACTTTGTCATAGTCATTGATTTTCTTCATTGCAGCAAGCATTCTTGGGTTTCTTTTAGTGGCTTTTCAGAGTCGTACAATGAAGTGTACTTTAAAGAGATTGACAGGTTTTCAAACACGCTGTCTGGTAAGCAAATATTTAATTGTTATTTGGTTGTTGGGTTGTTGCTCCTGAACACTGTTAGAACTTTGCAAACTCAGTCATATGTGAGATTGTGGCATTTCCCAGAATTTTAACACATGAAACAAGCCTTTGACGTTTCCTTTCTATTATAATACATAGTTGACAAAGATGACTCTGAAGATGATGAAAAGGATGACCCTGAGAGTTCTTCTACCGGTAAGGTCTTCTCTTTTGCAGGGGGAGGGATGGGGGATGGCTGTAATGGGGCTGTTGGCATTCACTTCAGAGGAGAAGATTGGTAAAAAGTTAAACAGTTCTGAGATGGCCACCAAAGGGACTGGTGGCCCATTATATAATATGAGTTATCTACAGAAAGTTTCCTGTTGTCCACAAAAATCTAGTGGCCTGCCATCTAATACATGTCGACACATTCCATTTCATGTGTTGAGAATGTATGCCAAGCTTGGTTATCAGCTTGTTATCAGTGTGTAACGTGTCTTATTTTTTATAATGTTAGGAGTGATGATCACTGGTGAACTGACAGCTAAGTTCGCTGCTAAAAGCTACTGGAAGAAGGAACTGGAGGAAGAGCTTAATGACTTGGGAATACAAGAAAAGTGGTCTTTCAACAAGACTAGTGCATTACCTTATTCTGGAAGTGAAGAGGATGCAATGGAATATGTGGAAAGCAGACGTTCTGAGCAGTTGTATGCTCACACTTGCTCTAAACTTTGCTCAGATAAAGGTCTGTTTTATACCATATAACTTACGCACCATTCACGGTAACAAAACATGTTTAATTAAACCAGGTTTAACAAAATGAAAATCCCCAAAAGGAGATGAAAAAGACTCCTTTTTACATTGGATTCAACTGAGCCCTATCATGTGCTTTCACTGTGCTTAATTTGAAGTTTACAAGTAATGACTTCTATAAAGAATTTATTTTAAACTATGTTTAGCTATACAACTTTCAAATGTGTTTTAGCTTTGCTGTGAATGAGGTATTAGATGTAAATAATGATTTTTGTTTCAACTGATAATTAAATTATAAGTCCCACATAGAAGATTCCTTGGATTAACAATGGTAATAGGACTGACTGGAGTCCAATTCGGTCTGTAATCATACGAGTGATTTGTTAATCACAAGTATGATTACAGACTGAATTGGACGACATGATGTCCTGTTACCGATTAATCAAAGCTACTACAAAATTCGATAAACAAACAAACCATCGATTGAGCACTGAACGATTAAACGTCGTTATGAATGCTGAAAAACATAGTAGTTTACTCAACATAGTGCACCGCAACAGCGTGCGCAAAATGATGCGTACTGTCCAATTACAAGCATGACACGTACACTGTCCAATTAATGCTCAAATCAGGCTGCT